CACACACACACACACACACACACACACACACACACACACACACACACGGCAGCAGATCTCTGTGTGTTTGGCAGGGAAACGAACAAGGTGCCAAACTGTGATTCATGGTTGTGTGCATATTTGTGTTCATGCAACTCTATCCTTCCTTCCTTCCTTCCTTCCTTCCTCCCTCCTCCAGTGGACATACGAGAGATCCGGGAGCTGCGGTTGGGGAAGGGCTCCCGTGACTTTGAGCGCTACCCGGAGGAGGCCCGTAAGCTTGACACCGCCCACTGCTTCATCGTGCTCTACGGCCTGGAGTTTCGCCTCAGGACGCTCAGCGTGGCCGGTCAGTGGGCTTAAAGAACTGTATGTGTGTGCACAAGTGATTCCCAATGTACCTTTGCTTGATTCACTGTCACTTCAAAGATCGTGCTTTTTAAGAGTGTGTTTAAAGGACAAATATTACCCATTGGGTGTCATGTTTGTTGTTATGGCCATCATTTTTCTCAGTAGTAATATTGTAGTCAAGCTTATTTGTGAGATGATGGAACACAGTGACATCCCTGATATGGGTCAATAAAAACGAGCAGTAGCATGATCAATTAAAACCTAAACTGTGTGTGCGTGTGTGTGTGTGTGTGTGTGTGCGTGTGTGTGGAATGAGAGATTATTACCATTATTCAGGTGCACGTTCTTTTGGTTTTACATCCAAATAAAGTGGTTCAGATAATCTGTATAACCCGTTGACTTTGTTTTGGTGATGTGTCCGTGTTTGGTGAGTAGATTATGATTCATAAAAAGTAATGAACACACCTACAAAATTGAATTCACATTTAAATAAGCTTTTAAATAAATATTTAGCTGCTAAACCTTTAGGGAAGTCACCAAAGCCAGATATTCTTTACACTTTTCTATTTCTTTTGTCTTTACAGCCTTCAGTGAAGAGGAGGTCAACATGTGGGTCACTGGTCTCAACTGGCTGATGACAGACACACAGAGAGCTCCCGCACCACAGCAGACAGACAGGTGTGTGTCCATGTGTTCAGCTGCTTGTAGTCGTGACTTAAAGGAATACTCCATTGAATATGTCGTCTGTTGATAGTAAAAACTGACCTCAGGTAGGCTTGAAAGTTTGTAGAGGGCTCCCAGTACTGAAACAATTAGTCAACTTATTTCATTAGTTCATCAACGGAAAATGAATTGACAACAACTTTCATCAAAGTAAGTTCTTTTAGCAAAACAAATGCCTAGTTGCAGCTACTCAAACATGAATATTTGCTGGTTATTGTCATCTTCTATGATTGGAAAGTGAATGTCTTTGAGTGAAATGGATCAGCAAGTCATAAACCTGCATCACTGAACTATTAATCTGTGTGTTTATGAAGCACCCCTCCCTGTGTGTGTGTGTGTGTGTGTGTGTGTGTGTGTGTGTGTGTGTGTGTGTGTGTGTGTGTGTGATTAAGTGATAGCTGGTTGCATCAAAAGAAGTAGCGGCATGAACGGGAAAGGGAGGTACCGGTCGGAGGAGAGGACAAATATTTGTTTTGGGATGAAAATATTTACTCCAGATGAATGTGCGGGGGCAGTTATGGCTTCTGTGGTGTGAGCAGGAGAACAGAAGGTGTCTGTCGACATAATGTGAGCGGTATATGTTTGGAGATGGTCAGAGGAAATGAAATGGCTAATTTCGTCTGTTTATGAGACTTTAACTGTAGATTCAACAGCTTTCATTGGGTTTGACAAATACAGACTCTATATAACGTCAACTTGTTGCTCTATTTGAATTTGAATTCTCCTCAGTTCTTGTGTACGGAAATATCTATTTGTCCTCATCCTCGAAGACTTCACTCTTTTAAAGGGCCAGTGTGTAGCAATTACACAGATCTATTGGCAGAACTGGAATATGATATATATCCAAGTATGTTTTCTTTAGTGTATAATCACCTGAAAATAAGGATTGCATTTCAGTTGCCTTAAAATACGGAGGTTATCTCTTCATACAGGGCGGGTCATCTTCACAGATTCCGCTATGCTGCTGTTCTACAGTAGCCCAGAAGGGACAAACCAAACACTGGCTCTAGATCTCCAGGTCTGAAAAGTGAAGGTGACGCGGAAGAGCCTTACATTTTTTTCTATTGGCCATCAGCGGGTCACTCCTCTGATTTGCAAACATGAGTCAGATTGTATGGAAGTCAGTGAGATAATGCCCGTACTTTATTACCTCAGTAAACATTGTGAGTTTATGGTCTCCATCGCTAGTTTCAAGTGTTCTTCAATACAGCATGATGCTCACTTTGTAAATTATTGTCCCATTTAGAGTAAAATGGACCATAAAGCAGGGCTGTGGCCCAAATCTTCTATCCATACATAGGTCATTTCTTATTCTGGTAACGATATACATCACGATATAGCATGTTTTCTGGTAATTCAATAATAGTCTATATTAAATAAGCACATGGTTTAGTATTCTCCTGAAGAAAAGTATTTTTGAAAGTTAATTGTAACATTTTGGTCCTCTAAAAATGTCTTGGTCATCGTTCTGTTGTACTTGGCTCCACCCTCTCGTGTTACTTCTGGTTGCAAAAAAACCAAGATGGCGATGGCCAAAACGCCGAACTCGAAGCTTCAAAACTGTAGTTCACAAACCAATGGGTGACGCTACGTTGACTACGTCACCTTCTAGTATACAGGATGCAATCTGCAACCTCACAGCTCGACGTCGCCAAATCATACAACATTAAAGAAAATATACAAACATATATGTAAGCTAAGCCTTCATACAGTGTTATCATGCTAGCTATACTGGGACTAAATAGCTTTACACAGCAGTACAAGAACAATGCTGCTTCTTAATTTTCATGTCTTTTATAGCTGGTGAGGATGCTGGCTCTTTGCCTCGGATCTGTTAGCACGACCTTTATAATATCCTCATTTTAAACGTCTGCCGGAGTTCAGTTCATGGAGCTAACGTTGGCTTATTGAGCTAGCTATTCCCGATTAAATGATCTTGCGACAGTCTTCATTTCAGTCTGTAAATTCAGCGTTTGCTGGCTAGAAATAAGGCTTCGTCTGAGCTCAATGACATATTGTTACATATTGCTAGCACTTTTTAGTAATTACAAATTTGATCAAATATAATACATTCACAATGAGAATATGTATTCTGATTTATTTGCAAAATGTATCTAAATTTCAGTCTCCAGCAACGCAGTGCAACATTTAATCTGTAAGCGATCACTCTCATTTTCTTTAGCGAACGTGTGTGACTTCTATTTTTACTTCCAGCGGGATTCTCGTAATAGTCGCTCTTTCAGTGTGGTGTTTTCTCTCTCCATCCCTCCCTCCATAGGTGGCTGAGGAAGCAGTTCGAGGCCATGGACAGGAACCACGAGGGCAGGTGGGTGACTCGCCACAAACACGTCAACACCCAATCAGAGCTCCCACAGCAGCCTGTGATGGATGCTTATGGGTCTGTCACAGCAGGTGGCGCGTGGAGGTGAAACCAGATCCAGATGTCATCAACGAGCGTGTCGCACATCTGTTAGGGGTCTGCAATGACCTTAACCTCCACGCACATCCACACCCAGAAGCTCCGCATGTCTCTCACACACACACTTTCTCTGTCTGTTTCTCTCCCGCTCACATTAATAAATCCCGGCTTCTGTTTGGGTGGAAGCCGCTCCAGGACAAACAGCCTGCCACTGCCTGATAAGGAGCAGGAAGTGATGCGATGGGCTGGGAGAGAGCAACTTCCTGTCTCCTGTGAAAATAGTAACAGTAGCTAGACAGAGGGAAGCGGGCGGAGAGAGGAATCAGACCCGGCAGTGGTTGAGGTCGTTGAGCCCAAAAGAGCCTCTCAGCGCACTGACCTGAAGTCTTCTTCTACCTGCCTCTTGCTTTCTTCCTCATTCTATGACTGATGGTCGCATGTGTTTTGTTCATCAGTGAAAGTGATTATCCATGTGCTGTTTGTCCAAGAGAAATAGGATTGTTGAGGTAAAGACATCAGCAACTCCACAGAAGACACTGCAACAGCGTATTTCTACATATGCTCTTTAATTGGTACAAACTAGGTCCTTTAATTAGCTGTTGCATAGATTTACATCATAACTGCAGATGTCAAGGACTCCCTGTTGGTTTAAAAGTCAAGCTTCAAGGTTCACTCTTCATCGTGGAAACGGCTAATCTCTTGAGCCAACACGGACAAGAATGTGCTCAGAAGAAAATGGAAGTTTTAATATTTAAAATGTAGAATCCTCGACCTTATCGCCTTAAAGCATACAGCGCCATCTCCTGGTTCTTTGATGTTTCTAATGTAGCGTCCCTCTCTTTTCAGCATCACAGTGAAGGAAGTGAAAGCTCTGCTGCCTCAGGTCAACTACAGAGTCCCCAACATGCGCTTTCTCAAAGACAAGCTGCAGGTCAGAGCACAATATCAGTCTGATTCATTCGAATGTCTCTGACTTGTGTGTCACACTAACTCTCCTCCCTGTTCACAAAGGAGGTGGAGGCCAGGAGCGACTTGTCCTACCCCAACTTCTCACAGCTCTACAGAACGCTAATGTTTGACGCTCAGAAGACCGTGAGTCTCGGTTTCGTGTTTGGACACGTACGCACTTCCACAGTCGTGGAGGAAGTACTCAAATCCTTTACTAAAAGTAGTTGTATCACAATGGGAGAGTAGGACCATATACTCGTGTTATTGCGAGGTTTAGTTCCATAATTACGAATCATGTACACTTTATGCTAGTTTCAAAATGGTTAGCTGTGGCTTTAAAGTACACGTGATTTGTTGCAAAAATTATAAAACATGCAAAACCACCAAGATGGTCCTTTTTTAATAAGTAATGATGAAAAACAATCACAAAATTGGAGACACATGGTTTTTCCGCTCAGCTGTAAGAGTGCATGCTCTTCTAAACATTCTCTAAAACTCTTACATTGTGGCATTGAGCTGCAACAACTTGCTGCTCTTTATTTTGGAGATACAGGATGACGACAGCAATATTTGAGGATCTTGTTTCATGTTCATTTTACAGTCTGAATGTGAAACACACAGCCAGTAACATCCACCATCAGATAGACTTCTCCCACGATGGAGAAGTAAAGTTTTTGTACATCAAAGTCACAACCTCAGTACTGTATTTGAGTACTTCTGCACTCCACCCCTCCACGCTCACTTCCTGTTTGTGCTTCACCTGGCTCCCCCTCACCTGTCTGTCACCTGGTTCCTCCCTTTTGTTCCCAGATTATTGAGCAGCTGGAGCTCTCCTTCCCACTGCGGTGAGTCCCTTCACCTCCACCACCTCCTCTTCCTCGGTGTCCACTCCCTTGTCTTCACGTGCCCCCACTATTGTCCTTCTACCCGTCCACACACTTAATTCATCAGTGTCTTAAGGGAGCTTTTGGCTTTCACAAAAGTGAAACATTTCCATGTGTTTTTGCCATTTTAATGGTACCTTTTAATGTTCGTTTTTTTTTTTGCTCTTTGGATGTGAAACGTTTAACGTAATGTGAAATGAACTTGGTATAATTTAGAATTGGCGTAGGTAGAGTAAAAAGGTTGTCTGCCAGACAGACTTTTCTATGTGAATGTGTCTCCTCTCTCATTTTCGTTGAACCTTTCTTTAACCTTCACTCCCGCTGAGTGACATCTTGAAAACCGTTGTATTTGTAGGAATGTTGACAGACCGGAGCTCTGTCAGATCTCCCTCTACGACTTCCAGAAGTTTCTACAGATGGACCAGAAGGTACAGAGCAGATTCAGAAAATGCTCTCTTTAAAAAAAACTGCTCTGTGCTCACTTGTTTATCCGGCTCGTCTCAGGAGTCCTGGGCGTCGGATCTGAGTCGTGTCAGAGAGTTCCTCACGGGGTACATGAGGGGCGGACTGCAGCCGGAGCCCATGCTGCAACTTGATGAGGTGAAACTAGGGAGCCAACTGGAGTATACGCTGTGGGGACATCTTCCTGGCTCACAGTCTGATCACGTGACTTTATTTTTCCAGTTTCTGACGTTCCTGTTCTCCAAAGAGAATTCTGTGTGTGACCCTCGACTTTCACCCGTCGTTGCTGATGACATGAAACGGCCGCTCTCTCAGTACTGGATCTCCTCTTCACACAACACGTAGGTCTCGACATCTGAGACTCAAATGTTCCTAAAAGTTTATAGCTTCGTCTCAGGAGGCCCCGTACTGTAGAAGAAGATCATGTTATTGTATTTAAGGGAGCTTCGTGGGAATAATGGTGATTTATCCACTCCACGTTTAGGAAAATCTGCTTGAGTATAAGGTTTCTTTTCTTTTTGCGAAGACGAACTGTTTCCCATGTTTACCGCCTTTAAACTAAACACGTCAGATTTATATTGAATGTAATGCTGAAAAAATAAGTAGAAAAATCCAACACCAACTGATCACTTTTATCAATCAAGAAGAAACAGCCAAATATGTTTTGATTCTATTTAAAGTTTAAAGGTGTCCCGCTGCTCTTTCAGACTCGTTTCCATGTTGTCGTTCTCTCAGCTACCTGACAGGGGACCAGTTCTCCAGTGAATCATCTCTAGAAGCCTACGCCCGCTGCCTCAGGATGGGCTGCCGCTGCATTGAACGTAAGAACCAGCATTTGGTTCTAACTAACAAGAAAATGATATAGTGGTTAGGGTATTTAGCTGCTCATTCAAATGCATTGAACACTTCCTTAAATACTGGCCACATATGGAATGGCAGCGTTGTATTGTGGTCTGGTCCTTGTCCAGGTTCACACACAGCTAAACGCCTCTGTTCGGATGTTCTGTTTTCTGATCTCAGTGGACTGCTGGGACGGACCCGACGACCTGCCAATCATCTACCACGGCCACACGTTAACCTCCAAGATCAAGTTCCTGGATGTGCTGCACACCATCAAAGAACAAGCCTTCGTCACATCAGAGTAAGCTACTTCTCCATCGGTGACAATGGAACAACGTGCAGATGTCTTCCGGAGATTAAACTCAAGGGTTCACCGCCCCGCTGTTGTGTTTGTGCAGGTATCCTGTGATCCTGTCCATCGAGGACCACTGCAGTGTGGTCCAGCAGAGGAACATGGCCACGCACTTTAAGAAGGTGTTTGGAGATCTGCTGCTCACCAAGCCGGTCGATAGCAACGCAGAGGAGCTCCCCTCGCCGTACCAGCTCCGCAGGAAGATCCTCATCAAAGTACGCAGACCACCACACACCTACGTTGCAAATCAATCTCGAGCAAGATCCATCACCTCCAAAAAAAAAACATGTTCACATGGTGCATGCATGCAGTAAAATGCTCCCACGTTGAACAAGTTTCATCACTGTGTCACAGCACAAGAAACTGGTAGAAGGCACGCTGTATGAAGAGGTGACTTCAGCCGGCTACTCCGAGAACGACATCAGCAACTCGCTGAAGAACGGCATCCTTTACCTGGAAGACCCCATCGACCATGTGCGTGTGCACGAGTTCTTACGCATCAAGCATACAGTCCCTGTTGTGCGGCGTTACGGAGTTGTGTTTTTGTGTTTTTGTGTGATTCACAGACGTGGACGCCACACTATTTCGTCCTGACCAGTAATAAGATTTACTACTCAGAGGAGACGTCTCACTACCAGACAGCTGATGAAGAGGAGGACGACGAAGGAAAAGAGGTAGGGAGGTGATTAGATTCAAATAAGGAAAAAGAAGGTATTTAATCGGGTAAAGGTGACACTCAATTACGCTTTCCTGTAATTGGTCAGGAGTGTAACAACAACGAGCAGCACTGTGCAGAGCGCTGGTTCCACGGGAAGCTGGGCGGAGGTCGTGACGGTCGACAGGTGGCAGAGAAGCTCCTGCAGGAGTACTGCGAGGGCGGGGCCAAAGACGGCACCTTCCTGGTCCGGGAGAGTGAGACGTTTGTCGGGGACTACACCCTCTCGTTCTGGTCAGTGATACTCAACGGGACATCTCACTGAAAGTAATCTCCGCTGCCTCTCTTTGCACTTTGTCAGAGGAGGAAAGAGATTAGAGAAATTAGATCATAGCAGTACAGCAGCCCAGTGCTCATCATAAAGGGGGGGGGGATTTAAAAGCCTCAGTATTTGTTCAAATAGTTTGTTTTCCCCAGTTCTTGTCTCCAGCCTTCCAGAGTTTTGTGACAGACTGGAGATCATCGCGCTAACTCCCCCCCGCATGTTCCTTCTCCAGGCGCTCCGGTCGTGTCCAGCACTGCAGGATCCATTCACGGCAGGAGTCCGGCTGCACCCGCTTCTACCTAACGGACAACCTGGTGTTTGACAGCCTCTACCGCCTCATCTGCCACTACAGAGACACGCCTCTGCGCTGCAACGAGTTCGAGATGAGGCTGGGCAGTCCCGTACCTCAGCCCAACGCACACGAGAGCAGAGAGTGAGTGATTTGAAGTCTGCAGAGATGTCACACTTTCTCTTTTTAAAGTGAGTGAAGGTGGAGGAGAAAAGGTTCCTCGGTTAGTGAATAGATAGTGTTGTGTTCTCCAGGTGGTTCCACTCCAGTCTGTCCCGGGTTCAGGCTGAACACATGCTGATGCGCGTCCCCAGAGACGGAGCTTTCTTGGTGCGGAAACGCAGCGAAAACAGCTCCTATGCCATCTCCTTCAGGTAGAAAACCAACGCACGCTGACTCAACGGGGACTCATCTGTTCACATTGTCTCTTTGTTTTTGTGACAAGTTGTTCTTCCTTGTCCGTCTCTCCGCAGGGCGGAGGGGAAGATCAAACACTGTCGCATTCAGCAGGAAGGCCGTCTCTTCATGTTGGGCAGCTCGGCAGAGTTCGAGAGCCTCGTCGACCTTGTGAGCTACTACGAGAAACAGCCTCTGTACCGCAAGATGAGGCTCCGGTACCCCATCAACGAGGACACTCTGGACCGCATGGGCACCACGGTGAGTCCGACACACAGCAGGTTTACATTACCGCTGTCACCCAGGGTTTCCATGTACTGTATGTCATTTTATGACTGCAAGAGTGACCATTACTTGTTTATTTCTCAGGAGCTCGACTACGGGGCTCTGTACGAGGTCCGCAGCCCTCACTTCTATGTGGAGGCCAATAAGATGCCCACAGCACGGGTAAGGGAGATCTCTTTAAACAGTTATTCAATGATTACCATATCTACGTTATCATTTAGTAAATTAGCACATTTGATTATCCTGTAAGGTAATATGGGTAGACTTTTTTTAAATAATCGTTGGAAGTAAAAGTACAAAAAGTATAGTGAATATCTGCACCAACTATGTACTGTAAAAACAGAAATATTGGTTTTGCAATGTACCCATGTAAGGACTGACAGAAGATTTTCATCTCACAGCATAACTTAACTTTTCTCTTCAGTACTGTACTAGTCATTTTACTATCTCTAGATGGCTGTGCGTTCAGGTAAGTTAAAGGAAGTGAAATGAGAAAAGTGATGTTTTGAGAAATAGAAACACTCAAAGCCTCTATGTGCACCCCCAAGTGGTTGTATCTGAAACTACACTGTGGCAGACAGACTGATGTGTCTCTCCATGCTCTCAGTGTACGGTCAAAGCTCTGTACGACTATCGAGCTCAGAGGGAAGATGAGCTCTGTTTCCCCAAACAGGCACTAGTCATCAATGTGGATAAGCAGGAGGGCAGCTGGTGAGTAAGTCTCATTGTACATGTGACCCCCCTGTGCCTCCTTTACATTAAGAGCCGCTCGTCATGAACCCGTGTGGCGTGTCCTTAGGTGGCGAGGTGACTACGGAGGAAAGAAACAGCTGTGGTTTCCTGCAAACTACGTGGAGGAGGTTCCCAGTTCTCCCACTAGAGAGCTGGATGAAGTGGTGAGTTGGGATTCTTAGCTGGAGCTGCAAGAATGTCAAATGATCAGCTTGCTTTTCCAATCGTGTGTTTTTTTAAATATTATTCTGATGTCTCAGTCAACAGAGAATAGTCCTCTTGGAACATTCCTGAAGGGCTTCATTGACGTACCCACCTGTCATGTCGGTGAGTCCCGTCAACAAACAAGAGGTTAGCATCTAATTCTCAAGAACTACCCTCTCTCAAAGCTCTGTCTCCCTCCATGTGTCCAGTGGTGCATAAGGATGGGAAGAACGCGCGTCCCTACGTGTTCACCATCCACTCCCAGCAGCTGTCCTCTCTCCCGGTTCAGACCCTGGACGTGGCAGCCGACAGTCTGGAGGACGTGACCGTCTGGGTGGGCAAGATCAGAGAGGCCACACAGAACGCTGACGCACGGGTCAGTAGCACCGAAGGATGCAGAATCAATCCCAGGATTCATTTATTAGATCTTTTTCATAATGTAAAAGGGATTGTTTTTCATATTGGCTTATCTCCATGTGACAGATGCAGGAGGAGAAGCAAATGGAGAGGAGGAAGAAGATAGCGGTGGAGCTGTCTGAGCTCGTGGTCTACTGCAGACCTGTCCCCTTCAACGAGGACAGTAAGGATCAAACTGCTCTCTCTTCTTCACTCGCCTCACTTTATAATAAGTTGTGGGTTTAAATCGTTTTTTTTTTTTTGTATTTGCTGCTACTTCTAGAGATCAGGACAGAGAGGGCGTGTTACCGGGACATGTCCTCCTTCCCAGAGACAAAGGCAGAGAAGTTTGCGACACGCAGCAGAGGGAAGCGCTTCCTGCAGTACAATCGCCGTCAGCTCTCCAGAGTTTATCCCAGAGGACAGAGGCTGGACTCGTCAAACTACGACCCGCTGCCCATGTGGCTCTGTGGCTCCCAGCTGGTCGCACTCAATTTCCAGACACCAGGTCAGTGTACAAGTATGTCTTGTGTGTACTTTTAGACGAGGTCAACGCAAGCGCACATAGAATTTATAAGAGACAAACATTTATTTTCACAAAGAGAGCTCGGCAGATGTTGAGGAAAATAAAGTACCGGCTGCATCATCTTATCTCAGATACAAATATATGAATAGTAATATTAGAATAGGAAATAAGCAATATTGCAGTGAAAATTGCTAGTTAAGTAGCACTCATTTATTCACATAACTGATATTAAAAATAAGTATCTCCTGATTAGCAAGTTAACCATAATAATCACATTTAGCCTCTGGTATTAAGTGTCCACCAGGGACAACAGATCAATATATTATATTGTATAAGAATTGATTGTTAACAGGGTAGAAAATCTGGGAGAGAAAAACAATTTCCATGTTGACAAATAGTACCCCATCACAGTGGGTCTTAGTGAGGTTAGGCGTTTTTGGGGAGGAGGATAATCAGGTTCAGCCTTGCGGTCTTCTGATAGAATCATCCGTCACATGTTGCTGTAAGACAGAAGAGGTGTGTTGAATACATATGAAATGTGTGTGTAGATAAACCCATGCAGCTGAACCAGGCCTTGTTCATGCTGGGAGGGGCCAGTGGCTTCGTTCTTCAGCCTGATGTCATGAGGGATGATGCCTTCGACCCCTTCGACAAGGACACCTTACATGTGGAGCCAATCACCATGCAGTTACAGGTCAGATTGATCATAGCAGTACAAGTATTAACTAGTAGTGAGAATCATTTTGTTTAGACAGTCTTATACCTGCCTTTCACATTCTTCCACTGTCTCTGGATCAGGTGCTGGGAGCCCGTCATCTCCCTAAAAATGGCCGCAGCATCATCTGTCCCTTCGTGGAGGTGGAGATCTGTGGAGCAGATTACGACAGCTGCAAATGCAAGACAGACGTCGTCGGTAAGAAGGCTGTTGTCTCATGGTCACAGTGGATCACATTTACATTCACGCTGTAATGTGAGCTCAACGTCTTCCTCCTGACACCCCTCCCCCCAGCTGATAACGGACTGAATCCTGTGTGGGTGCAGAAGCAGTTTGTGTTTGACATCCACAACCCCACCTTCTCCTTTCTGCGCTTCACCGTCTACGAGGAGGACATGTTCAGTGATCCGAACTTCCTGGCACAGGCCACCTATCCTGTCCGCCTGCTACGAACAGGTGAATGTAACGGCTTAGTCCCGCCCCTCCAACACAGACCGGCCAATCATAGCATAGCATCGGCCATTTCTGAACAGGGCCTGAGTAGCATGGCTCTACTCCAGTCTGGTTTTGTTAATTTTGTCATGGTTTTAAAAACGGTACTTAAAAACATAATGAAATAGCACTTCTAAATGATTGTTAAAATAAAGGATCCCTGCAGAGGGGGCCTTCTTGTTCAACCATAAACAGCAGCTATATCGCTCACTAAACCTGTCTTGTTCCAAAACTTTGACGTATTAGTCATTTACATATTTTAAAACTACTGGATTGCCCACACTGTCACTAACTGAATGAATAATATGTAATTTTTTCGAAATGCAATTTCAGAGAGAATGCTCTATAATATGTGTAACTGACTCAGCAGCTAAAGCCTACAGATCTATACTCACTGTCAGAATCATTAAAACGCAGCATGTGTACATTCAGTATAACTTCAGAAGCTTACCTAGCAACAGAGGTAATGAGAGCTCCACATCTCCTTCAGACCTCTGAAGAAATTGCATGACAAGACTATGGAGCACAGTATAATTGTCGGATGCTGTGATTGGGCAGTCTGCATTTGAGAGGTGGGATTTAGCAAATTGTTCTTGCCAATCCTAATTTAATCCAGACAAATATTTCACTAAACTTGAATTAGTTCTGTCATTTGTGTTGTCAGGCTACAGGAGCGTCCCTCTTAAGAACAGCTACAGTGAAGAGCTGGAGTTGGCATCACTGCTGATCCACATAGAGATCGTCAATGCAAAGGTGCCGCTGCTGTGAGAGAGACATGTTCATTCTACTTAAGAGTCCATAACTGATAACTTACCCTCGTCTTGCTGTTCTCTCTTCCTCACTATGGCTGCAGGAGGAAGACGATGAGAACATGTACATGACCATCCAGCGTCTGCGGGATCGAACCAGCGAGCTGACCAACCAGGTGTCCCTCCTGGAGAGGTCGGGCTCCGGGGATCTGGGATACCAGCAGAGTCTGGAGGAGCTCAGAGCAGCTCAGGACCAACTGAGTGAGCTGGTGGAGGCTCGAAACCACAGGTGACTGATGGGAGGAGAAAGATCCAGAAACAAGGCTGTAGGAAGTCTTGTGTGTAGACGGTCTAATATATTATAGTACGTTCTTTATTATTAGTGCTGCAAACTGAATATTAACTACAGAGCTGAGCTGAATGCCCTTTTAAACATTCAAAGCTTCTCTTTATGACGAAGAGAAAAAGAAGTGATTATTGGATTAAATGTACTCATTTTGTGTTAAATCAACTTTCTTTTACCTGTTGACGATCTCACAGGCTCAGTTTTAAAGCTAGTATAAAGATGCAGTATCATATGAATCTAGACAACGAAGAATTTTCTCATCTGCAGACTGACATGTTCACAAATGAAGGCTTGGGATGACATTGTATTACACACAATGGTTTTGCTTTTTGCTTTACCAGGCTGATGGAGAAGAAGAGAAGGGAGAAACTGAGGCAGCAGGTGGCAGCAAAGCGCAGCTAATTCTCTGATCCACCAGAGAGCGCTACACAGGCACTGTACAGCGACTTCAACCCATTCATAAGTGGACTATAAACAATGACAAACAGAAGCATCTCATGGACTAAGAATAAAACCGCACACAACTAAGCTATGTAAACAATCATGGATTAGTGCTGAATCGCACCAAGAGTGAAATGGCTTTCTTCTGATGTTTTCATGGAAACAATACAGACAGGAGAGATGAAGTATCACAGCTCAGAAAGTCAACCTGCAACCTTTCTTGGGTTTGGGACGGTTGATCAGAAATAATCTATTTGAAGTTGCCACCGTGAGCTTTTGGAAATAAAAATCAGGGCATTATTAATCATTTTAAGTTTCAGACACTACTGCCACGACAATATAAAGTCAATTTCAGTACATTCTGTCAACAACAGATTAATGCTGTCAAACAAAACCAGTCTTGTTGACCTGTGATCAGATGATGAGACCTGGCTGGTATAACTATGTCTTGATAGCGATAGCGAGCACCAGACAGATAGCAGTCTCGTCTCCCAGTGACTGGGATCATTGTTTTATGAGAAAGTTAACATCAGGCTCGACTTAAATATTGCTTTCTTTACCTGGGAAAGCAAAATATAACTACAAGGATATAAATGTACTGAATTGTTGGTTATTAAAATAGTTTCAGATTCCTGATCCAGTCATTTCAATCGGTCCCTCTTAAAACTGAACTGAAGTTTAAAGTTCGCTCTTACTGCGTTTTGGTCTTGAAGAGAAAAACTCAGGAAACAAACGGATGGAATTAAAGTGAACATGTATGTGTGCCTTTGATATTACGCTTTGTGACTAAGTAAAAGAAAACTCTACAACTGGAATAGTGACCCTTTATGAAAAAACTACCAACAAATCCACTCGTTTGGCTCAGACCACTACTCATGAAATGGGTTTAAAAAGGGATTTTTGGACTAGTTCTAGTCTTAATCAAAACCAAATGTTTTTTTGATGGGGGGTCCACGTGACGGGAGCCCCTCTCAACCTGCGGTCAGTCATTCCTGTTCTACCAAGAGAGCACAAACGGGATGACCTGTATGGAATAAAACCTCTTCAAAGGGCTCTAAATAAACTACCTACACTAAAGAGGCTCGAGACAAACAGGGGCTATGAATGAAAACCTGAACCACGATCAGTTCCCAACATCTGGCTCTTATCAACAGATGGGACTCAACTGGTGCTGGATCTGCAATAAACGGCTTCATATCTATTCTCCTGTCTAACGTCACATTGTATATAACTTCTGTTATTTATGAAACCAGTGGAGATCTTGTTTTACTAGATGAAAGATGATACTAGGAGAATGATAATAGACTTCAGATTAACGATACTGTCCCTTTAAATGTCACCATAGACACAAACCCCCCCACCCCCCCATGCTGCAGTGGGGACTTCTATGCAAACTGGTCTTGTTGGCCTCTAGCCATTGTTTGATTGAGATCTCTCCGTACCTATGCCAACTGTCTACTATAATGACTCTGTATTCAAATGCTGTTGACATTTAATAAAGCTCTTTAATGTACTCCTGTCTGCAATGTCTTTGAAATGTGTAGGACTTACTATACCAGGACTTTAAAAAATATACCAGGACGATCACTTTTTCTTCTGACCTACTATACTGTGAGCTTTTTATGAATTTTTCCACATATAATATAACTTTCTAGTGACTTATTTCGACATTCTACTGCAGTGACTTTTGACACACTATACCATTACCGTCATCCTCTATTCTGACAGAATATCTGATGACTTCATGACTTTTTTTTTGACACACTATGAACATTTTAAGACTTTTCTGTGAGATAACATACTATACCATAATTATTTTTCCGACAAACTATGAGTTTCTTTTTTTAAAGTACTATCCCATGATATTTACAAACAACTTTACCATGACTTTTTTTTAACATTATATATATACATTTTTTGATTTGGTTCGACATGCTATATGACGAGTTTATCCCCTTTTCAACATGCTATACCGTGACTGTTTTCAAAGTACTATACTGTTACTTTTACCACCTACTATACTTTTACTATTACCACCTCAGATGCCACAGACGGGGGGAGACTGACTAGACCAGTGTATTAATACCACAATATAAAATATATAAAAAAACACAATGTTACAAGTGAAAGTCCTGAATTCAAAATCTTACTCAAGCAAAAGTATGTTAGTCTATAATCAAGAAAATGTGCTTAAAGTAAAAATGGTACTCCCTATGCAGCCAAATGGGCTCTTTAGTTGTTACATTATATATTATAATATTAGATTATTATTATTGATCTAGTAACATGCAAGATGCATTTTAATGCTGCAGCTGGCTGCAATAGAGCAAATTTGATTCATGTTTAGCATGAACCCGTACTCCCCAGAAGGTCTGGTGTCCACCCACCATAGTTTAAAAAGACCCTGTGGGAAACACTGGGATTTGGTGAATATATTTAGTATCAATCATCGGAACATTAACTAATATTTAAAGGTGACAGATGCATGTAGTGCGGTAAAAATGTACAATATGAATCCAAATGTAGTGGAGTAGAAGTATACAGTTGCATAAAGTGGAAATCCTCAAGTAAAGTACAGACGATGATGGCCTTAAGGCTTTGTATTTGATCTGTGGTAACCTGTCACATCCAAAAAGGAGCAAAGTTAAAAGTTAACCAAAAGGAGTTTGAGCCAGGATACCAGATGATCATTATCTAAATTACAATGACCTAAAAACACAAACCGAGTTGCTGTCCAATAAAAGAAAGATTACATCTTTAAAAAGCGACAACAACCCTTAAACTAATGTTTAACTCTTATTGCAGTAAACTGTACTTCAAAAAGGAGAATGAGTAATGTTCATTTGAAGTATACTGATATGAATACAGATATGAAAGGGCTGCATTGTACTGGCATAAAGCCTGCGGCTGTGATCAATTATTTGCATCCAATAACACAGAAAGCTGAAAATGAATTTAAGATTGTGGCTCACCTTAGTTGACCTTGATATCAATCTCCTGTTCCTGCGTTAAGGGCAGAGCGGGGCCGTGTGCAAATGTGAGTTATGCCTGTTATGACTTTGCTGAGGTACACAGTGTAACTTGTCTAAGTGAAAGTCCAGAGGAGGAGGAGGACATCTCCGAAGAGGGGGAAGCATTAGGGTAGAATGGAGGTATAAAGTAATGTACAATGCTATTGTGAAGTTAGTTGACTCTGGACAGTTCGGTTTACTTGTATACTTTGTGATGCAAATAAATCTGCGTGAACTGAAGAAAATCCAATCTCTATTGTGTTCTCTACCCACCTGGGTGTTCGTTAATGATTTCCTAATAGTGAGATCCTGTGGTGTCTCACCACGAGTCAGATAGATAACAGTTACTGAGCCAGTCGTCAGGTAAAGTCAAAGAATTGTCTCATTAACGCCAAAAAAAACCACCTTGTATGAGCTTCGATCTTCTCATTGAGACGTCATCGGTGAGACAGAGATGAGTTCTGTGCGGGAGGTTAACCCCACGGTGCTCCGGATCAGAGCCCCGACGAAACTGCAGAGTCTTGCTGCACGCATCAGAGAGGAGATTAAACAGGTAAATCAAAGGTGCGATACACCTTGAACTAATCTGATTCAATCAAAAGAAAAGTTATCTTTCAGGAGAAAGGTTGCAGTTTGTGTCTCTAACGAATAACTGAATCAGCAGTGGCGGAAGACAAATTCATGTCATTTCAGTAGCAACATCTCCATGTAAAAGCACATAACACGTATATTCTATACATGTTGTATTATTGGATTATTGTTGCAGTGTGAAAAGACCTACAGACACCGCCACACTTTTAATGGGTCATCTGTGATGATTGAGAGGGATTCTTTTTGTATGAGTCTATACATTGTTTACATTGTTAGACGAGAATTGATCCATGGTTCACAGACACAGAGAGGGTTTAGAGAGGCCTCAGGCTCTCAAAATGATGCCAAACTGCTTCTATTTGGATAGATTGAATAATATTATTGATAAAACAAGTGAAATATATAGTTATATAGTATATAAAAGTATAATGGAACAGGTTCCAAAATGACAAATCTGCTTGACCTCCCGCGACCTCTCTGACACAATAAACTCTACAACTTTTGTTTGCTTCACTTTATCAAAGCCAAATCTTTTTATACAGCCCTCTGACATGTTGTGCTATGATTTAGGAGAGTTTTTAGCTTATACCTGCATCATTAAAAAAAGATATTCATGCTTTCAGTGCTTGTTTTTCAGGCGAACCTGAAACTTTTCAATTTGAGCTGTGTGCCATCTTCATTCACTATTAACCAGTAACATATACATAATATTTTCACATATGAACACATCTCTCAAGTGTTACCTTTATTATAGCATCAAAATTGTTAAAATAGGCCTTGTAGTTACAAATTTGAAGTCTTTTAGGTATGGTAATGCAATTTTCGAGCAGAGGCCTACAAATAGGGGATGAAGACCCAGTGTCTTCGATATCTTCGATATTTATTTAGTTTTGGTCACACATTCACTGTGGAAAAAGAGTCATCAACTAATTAACATAAAGTATATGTGAGAATGATGAGTTGATTTACAACCTTATAACTAACCCGGACTGTTTTTTTTCAGGGAGGGCAGAAACCTTTCCAGCAGGTGATTGATGTCAGTTCAGGGGATCCCCACAGGGCAGGGATGGCACCCATCTCATTTGCTCGGCAGGTTCGTGTTTTATAATTTACCGCCGCGTGTGTGTATATCTACTTGCTGTACCTGCTTTCCTGACCCTCAAGGGGATCAGTGTGACAGCTACAAACTGAGAATGTCTATCATCCCAGGTCTTGGCGGTGTGTTTTTACCCCGAGCTCCTCAAAGACGAAAGCCTTCCTCTGGATGTCAAGCAGAGGGCACAGCAGCTTCTGGGGGTCTGCCGTGGAGGGAGTGTGGGTGAGAATGAATAGTATTTGTTTGTTGAAGACATTTGTCCCTTTGACTGGCACCTCTGCTTTAATCACTGATCTATCTACTTTGTGGATGCCAGGCTCATACTCTCTGACCTCCTGTGGGATACCATATGTCCTCAAAAGTGTTGCAGAGTTCATCACGGGGAGAGATGGTGGAGTGAGTTCCCACCCAGAGGATATAATTTTCTCTAACGGTTCCCAGAAGTCTTTGATGGTACAAAGAAAACACATTTTTTGGAGTAGGATTAGTAACGGTGTAACACACTGGATTGGCCATTACTTAAGTGAAATGTCCATTAATCATCTTAGGAACTGAGTCTACAGCCATGGTACCGTCAGCATGCGACCATCCTCACAATGGCAATGCTTATATGCCGATGTTTGCCATGTTCACAATCTTAGTTTAGTGTGTTAGCATGTGCTAATTAGCAGTAAATGCAAAATACAGATGGTCGATGGGAATATAGCTAGCTTTGCAGGTATTTTGTCAAACAAAGATATTGGATCAATTTCAATTATGATCTAATGATGGCACTACATGAAAAGTCAGAATAGACGTTTAAATATTAATTGACACAGAAAAAAAAAAGTAAAGTAAACAAAATAAGCTGAACACTCTTATCCTCAATGCAAAAAAGTACCGCCAATGTGGAATAAAATCATACATTTTTGCATGTTCCTTATTGTATTCTTATTCTTCTTGTTAGATGATTTTGCACCTGCTGGCCAGTGGGGAGGGGAAGACTCAGACAGGCGTTTTGACCCCGATGCCCTGCCCACACACCCTGCCAGCGCTGCTGGAGGACAATGGGTTGACTCTGGTGCCATACCAGCTGATGGAGGACCGAGGCTGGGCTGTAGACCTGGACGAGCTGCATCTAGCTTTGAAGAACGCTGGGGAGCTCTGCGAACCCAGAGCCATTTACATCAGCAACCCAGGAAACCCCACAGGTAAACTATACACACAGCAGCTACATTAACTAATATCCCCACTCTCATACTCACTATTATTTCTCCTTCTATAGGTCATGTGCAAGACAGGAAAACAATAGAGGAAGTGATTCGATTTGCCGCAACCGAGGGCCTCGTTTTGTTGGCTGATGAGGTGATTGCAAGCTACATGAGGAAACTGGGATCTAAAAGTTGTTCAAAAACAAGCTTCCCTTTTTTAATGTCTTCTTGAACCTTCTAGGTGTACCAGGACAGTGTGTACGGACTGGAGAAAGAGTTTATTTCCTATAAGAGAGTCCTGTCTGACATGGGGAAAGAGTACTCAGAGACAGTGGAGTTGATATCTTTCCACTCTTTATCCAACGCCTTGATGGGAGAGTGAGTATCACTGATGTTCTAACTCGCTCAGGCTAAGCCCTCTACTGTACTCCATGGGTAACTTTTCAATAGCGGTCGCTCGATATACTACATCACTTGCTCTGAACGTCACTGCAAGAACATATCTGTGGTTTGCACAAAGGCACAATGTCAAATTCTTTCCAGGCGACTGGGCCGATGTGACACTACGTTGGCTGTGTTGGGGTCAGCGATGGGTCTAGCCTTTGCTATACATAGATCCCCAAAAAATGTTTTGAATGTTTTTTCAAGCTGAACTCAAATTGACTGTCAGAGGCGTGTTTGGATAGGAACAGACAGATTTGCTCTTGGTGGATTAAGGTGAATACAATGCCTTGCAAGTTGAACTACAGCATGGTTACTGATTATACGGTTATGTTTAGCCAAATCAACTGGTTAAGATTATGGAAACACCGAAGCCTGGGTGAGGCCTATACACCAAGAAAGTCAACATAAACTGAGACATTCTTTCCCTACCTTAAGCAAAATGCCTGGTGTCAATGAGGTCAGGTGACTGTAGACCCATTGTACTTGTTGTGCTCATCCATGTGTTTAGGTGTGGTCTGAGAGGAGGCTATCAGGAGGTAATTAACATGGACCCAGCAGTGAAAACGCATTTAAAAGATATGCAGGCCCCTTCCAGCCCTGCAGTTATACCACAGCTTGCTCTTGAGGTCATGGTCAATCCACCCACTCCTGGAGATCCTTCCTATGAAACATACTCACAGGTAAGGGAAACATGTCATCAAAAAGAATTACTGGCAACACAGTCTCTTACAAAAAACTGCTTGATACTGTACATAAATGCACCAGAATAATAACTATATATTTATACTTTAATGTTAGCCAAAAAAGGAACAGTACCCAGTCCTGTACCCTATTTTAAAAACCGGAAAAGGTATTTTATTAATATTTATTAAACTGTGTCACCTTAACAAGGGGCAGTAAATGCAGATACATGTTGCTTCATGGATCTTCCTCCATGCCGCCAGCGCCCAAAGGCTCATTCAATTGGATTCTTTTTTGTTAACACCCCAGAGGGCCGGAATAGTCATCAAACATTTTAAACTGTTTTATAAAAGAGAAAAGAAAGGAATTTGATTCCGATTTTAATGTAAAAATATTCCGATACAGATTTTTTTTTTTTTTATAATACGGTTATTATAATAATATGATAAGATAGAGGAACAATTGACACAAGGACACAGGATTAAAACTGGCAAAATGTATTTTTCCATTTCACTGGTTAACTTTGCACCAACTCCACCAACTGTCTTTTAGCTGCTTTAATATGTTCACCAGCTAGTCACTAACTTTGTCTGTTTGCTGCTGAGCAGCCATTGTACAATGAATGTCAGTAAAGCTGCGCGGGAAAATGAGCAGAAAGGTGCCAAGACGCTCTGTACTGTTGGGTTAAAATACTCCTTTCAATACAGTTGTTGTTAAATATGAATTAATACAACTTTGAGTTACTGTCAATGGAGTTGTTTTAGGGGACCACCCAGGCCTAGCTTGTCCTTTTTTCTCAATTGAAGGAGATTCTTCACTCTCAGAGGACTCTGTCCCAGAATGCCCAGCGTGCTTGTGAGTTCCTTAACGATCTACCAGGGATGAACTGCCAACCAGCGATGGGGGGCGTCTCTCTTTATCCCTATCTGAATTTACCACCTAAGATGTTAAACGAGGCTAAGGTGAGTAAAAACAACAAAATAATGCTTTAAATCTTTAAATTCTTAAATGTTTTCTGATGTTGTTTACATAAGTAATATGTGTTAAGAAACAGGCAATACACTGATTAAAAAAGCAAAACAATTGATGATTTATTTCATTCTTTATTTCTAAAGTCACAGTTATCACTGGTAAAAGGAAACATCATTTAATATTAACTAGTGTTGTGCATAAGATCCCATATTAAGCATGGAAAAGCTGTAATTTTAGCAGTAATTTGAATGAGGCACTGTTTTTAACCTCAGATGTTAGGAGTGGAGCCAGATGTGCTTTACTGCCAGAGGTTACTGGAGGAGGAAGGTGTGTGTTTGGGTGCCGGCTGTGAGAATGGGCAAAAAGATCCAAACTACCACATTAGGTAAGAAAAACAGCAGCTTGTGTGAGTGGGAGTTATTTTAGTTTCAGACCATCAGAGTGAGGACATTTTTGAAAAGAGAGGACACTGAATTTTTTGTTTGAAAGTAGTAGACATCTTGTAAACAAGGACATTTTTGGAATGTGATTGATTTGTGATGATCAGCGTCGTTGATTATATGACTTATTATTAAAACCTATTCCATAACTGCTGACTTAATAACTGTTGCTATCTGACTAATGCTGAGACACCACAAGATCTCACTATCAGGAACTCAGTAACGAACCCCCGCAGAACACAAGAGAGATTGGATCTTCTTCACTCCATGTAGGTTTATTTGTATCACACAGATAGCAAACCGACAGCAAACCGAGTTGTTCCAGGATCAACTGACTTCACAATGAAAATTTACATCATTTTATACCCTCACTGCCCCAGGCTTGGTAACTTATTGGTCCCCAGACACGCTCACTGAGATGAGTTGTAGGAAATGTGTCTGTGAATGTGCTGGGAGCCCAGGACTCTCGTCTCCTAACGGATCCCTTGGTTGCCATACATCACATCCCTCTGTGTGCTTTATTTTCTGATTTCCTCTATACCCGTCATCAGTGGACGCTCCACTAATTGTGGCCTGACAGTTCCCTTTCTTATACCACCCGGCTCGGCATCCTGTTTTCCCATGCACACAATTTTTCTTTACCTGCGTATTAAAGGTTACAAGTTTGATTATGATGATTATACGTTGATATATTTCAAGACACACACACATTTTCCTTCTATAGTGAGCATCATTTTTAATTCAAAGGACAGAAAGAGATTTCTGGAAAGTGACAGCCCTTTGATATTTTTTATTAAAGAGCCTTTGCACACCTTTATCTTTTTTATTCATTTATTTTGTTTCTATTTTCGTATGGTGAGGTTACAATTGTGAAACAGTGTTACCACCTGTATTCAGAGCTGCTGGACAACTAAAGGCATTTTAACAAACAAAAGTTCAGAAAAACAGTATGTAACGTAAAACAGAGTCAATTTGCTGCTTATTTTAAGACATTACATTTTAAAACAAAATAACTTGGCTTTGTGTGTGTGTGTGTATCAAGACTGGTGTGCTAAAAGTACCTAAGTAGTGTCTACCTTCTGACACGTGCACGTGTTAATACTCTGTTTTGTGTGGTACTTTCCCTCACAGGCTGTGTGTTTTGGCTCCTCCTGCCACCCTGGAGGAGATCTTGGCAAGACTTTGTTCTTTCCACCTGCGCCTGCTGGACACATTTCCCTGATGGAGGTGTCAAGGACACAGAATTTGGAGAAAAACACCAAAGCATGGTTCTCTTGCAAATCTTTTAAATTGACAGTCAGTAAAATTAATAACTCATCCTGCAAAGAATAAAATAAATATTGATACTAAATAATAACTTTTGAAACGGAAGATTCAAGCCATCCAATGACGCTTTTTGAGTTTTCCAAAGACTTCTGCAGCCGTTAGCATCTTATTAACTAACAAACAAAAATTGGAGTGCAACAGACAAAATCAATAAAGGATCTTTGAAGTATTCATGAGGTTTGATTTCATTTGATTTTACCTTATTATCAATATATTTTTCTGATATGTGTCTTGCGTCCCAAGGCCTACAATGCTTCACATCCACAACAAAACACAAGATTTAACCAAACAACAAAATGTAGTCCTACTAACACGCAGTATATTAGAGTATTAAAGTATTCAGATTTACTTAAAGGGACAGTATGTATCATTTCGGGGGCATCTATTGCAGAAAAATAATATAATACTTTATGTGTATAATCTCCTGAAACTAAGAATCATTGTGGTTGTGGTAGCCTAAAATGAGCCCTTCATATCTACACAGGGAGCGGGTCCTCTTCACAGACTCCGCCGTGTTGCATCGCCATGTTTCTTCAGAAGCCCAGAACAGACAAACTAAACACTGGCCCTAGAGAGCGCCTTTCACCTTTCTATGTTACCTGAAGGCCACAGTAGCTCTGCGACGCTTCATGAAACTGTAGTGACTAGTACTAATACCACACTATGAAAATATTTCAAATAAAAGTCCTGCATTCAGAACCTTACTTCAGTAAAAGTATGTAAGTATTGTCAGCAGGATGAACTTAAAGTAGTTTCATCTCCAGCATACATCATATTCTACAGGGTCAGCATATGTTCGTAGTGTTCACTGTCCTGTGGAAACCATGCATCTCTAAAAAGTTTACTTTTCATGAGCTCCGATAAACAGCCCTGTTTTCCGTTTTGTAAAGTTGCATTTCCCAGCTGATCCAAGAGGCTTTTCAAATCATTCATTTAGCTTAAGAAGAAAGGAGAATTTTCTCAACACATGAATGGCATTTGCATTCACATTGCCAAATTTTGGGATATATGGTTTTCACTGGACAGGAAGAGAATTAAAAAAATATTTTTGAAAAGTAACTAATATAAATGTAGTGGAGTAAAACACACATTATTTGTGTCTGAGATGTAGTGGATTAAGTAATGAAGTTGCATAAACTTCTGGCTCTGGAGGGTTTATGTAAGGACGAGTGAAACAGATGCAGCAGGGAACACAGATTCCCAGGCCAAAGACTGAACTGTGTGTGTGTGTGTATTCGTGTGTATTTGTGTCTGATAGCTATTCCATTTTGAGATTATAAAAGCCATACGACACACTGACAGTCCACTCTGAGGAATCATGATGACACTGGCGCTTGTCCTGCTGCTCGCTGCCTGCGGTAAGTCTTGTCTGTCTGATATAAAGAGGGGCATCTCTTCTTCTTGCAGGGTTAGAGTCAAAGGATGAGTCTAGATTTGTTCTGTATTTGTCTTATCCTCATTATATCCCATGATAACAATGTGTTTGTCAGAAAGCTGACGTCTTTCACACCACAACAATACCTTTCAATATGAAACTTGCTGCAGCAAAATACTATTTGTTTCCCCCCCTAAAGTTGGCACAGAAAAAGCGACCCAATCACAGAGAACTGTGCATAGTGCTGAGGTCATAGTCGGGGTTACAGACGGTGTTACAGCTTTCAGTATCAGAGCAGAGTTGTATCAGGCTTTGTAACCTCCAGTTCTTTCTGTGGCGCAGCTCACGGGTGTGGCACACCCACCTATGAGCCCTCTGTGAGCCGTGTTGTGAACGGGGAAGATGCTCGACCCTACAGCTGGCCCTGGCAGGTGAGTTAATATTAATCATTAAAAGTCAACATTGTGAGAGGTTTAGGGAGCAAGTTACTTGGTGGAACTGCTGAGAACTCACAGACATCAAGGAGCACTGCTTTCTTTTTTTATAAGAGGTTACAAGCCAAAAAGGTTTGAAACCACTGGTTTCATCTTCATCATCACTAGTGACTAGTTGATAAATGTAATGGAGAAGAAAAAGGGGAAGTGGAAAAAGAGTGGAAGTAAAGTAGCAGCATTTGGGAATACTCTAGTAACGTATCTCAAACTTGTACTTAAGTACAGTACTTGAGTTAATGTATTTAGTTACTTTCCACCACTGCAGTGTATGACTCTGCTGCTCTATTCTCAGATCTCTCTGCAGTATCTCAGCGGCTCTACGTACCATCACACCTGCGGAGGCACCCTGCTCGCTCCCAACTGGGTCATGACTGCTGGTCACTGCATCGGGTAGATCACAGTTTACTCTATTTTATCTCATGATGTTAGATGACGGTTACATCTAAAGTTTGTCTTTATACACATATATCTCTCTCTGTGTGTCAGATCGCGTACCTACCGTGTGGTAATGGGCGAGTATGACCTCACCAAAGGGGAGAGCTATGAGCAGATTAGAAGTGTGGAGAAGATCGTGGTTCACCCTCGCTGGAATGGTAACTGCTTGTCTTGTGGGTGAGTGAATACGTCTCCTTCATACAACAGTTTTCAACTCATGTTTCAAATAAAAACAAATAGCTGTCCAGTATATAGTTTTACACCAGGACAGTGACATTTCACTCACCCATTTAAAGCTGCAGTAACACATTTTTTGGCCTTGGGGCAGATGGTTGGATGGCTTGTAAAGGTTTTGGTAACCTTTTCTAAAATGCATAATATAACTTATTGAGCTATTAACTTGAGACATTTCCCTTTCCTGTGTTTGGGGAAAAAGGTTTTCAAGTTCATGATATTCATTTCTGTATCACATGTTGGAGTTCTTTCCTTCCATGATTTCCAACATGCTTTTTTGTTGTTGTTGTGTTCAGTAATGACATTGCGATGATCAAACTGGCCTCGCCTGTCGCTCTGAACGACAAGGTGCAGCCCTCCTGTGTGCCGGTGAGCGGAGAGGTCGCTCCTCACGACGACCCTTGCTACATCACTGGCTGGGGAAGAATCTACAGTGAGTGTTTGAAAAATCCTGTTCTTTTAATTTAAAGGGGATTTTTTATGCAGCGGAGTGCCGTCTATTCACACTTCTTAAAAATATTTGCCGTTAATGCCTTGTAATGATAATATCAGCAGAGGATAAACTGAACACTATACCTCTGTCAAATGACACTATAAGTAAGCGAATTGAAGACATGTCGGATGACATCAAACAACAGACCACAGCTCGAATTTAGGCAAGTGGTCATTTTGCATTACAAATCTACATCTACAGACATAAACAAACAAAGCAGTTTTACTCGTTGACGTGAAACATGTGTGGGACGGGGACTTACAGGAACAATTTCTCTGCACAAGAGCGCTCCCTACTACTACGACTGCAGAGGACATTTTCAGCTCGGGTACAAACCGCACCATCTTTTCATTAAATACATTTGAGAAGTTGAAAATTTTCCTCGATTTGGGTCGCAGCTTGTCATGAAGGGGTGACGGTGGGTCCCGCAGACAGACCAGTTGAGAACCACTGCTTTAAAGGAATAGTTGGACATTTTGGGAATTGGGATTATTTGCTTTTTTGCAGAGAGATACACGCGAAGATCACAAATAATAAACACCATAACATTATTGAAACTATAAAAGTTCTGATGATGTGCGGAGGACGTTTTAGTTTTTTTGTTGGCTCCCCCTGTCATCTCAGCATTACACAGTCACTTTAGAACCATGAAGCTAATGTGATGGTGTCTCCTCAAGCGTCATGTGACACCACCTGACGATGCTCTGCATTCTTAATCTTTATTCCTGCAGGTGGGGGTCCCATTGCCTCCAAGCTCCAGCAGGCTCTCCTTCCTGTGGTGGGCCACAGCATCTGCAGCAGCAGCGGCTGGTGGGGGAGCACTGTGAAACCCACAATGATCTGCGGTGGCGGTGACCTCCGCTCTGGCTGCCATGTATGCACCGCTCCCTTCATCCCAACGCGATAACAACTGCAGATTCACTCTGTGTCAGTCTGATGCCTGCACTTGTCTTCTGTCTGTCTCCTCAGGGTGATTCAGGAGGCCCTCTGAACTGCAGGGGCGGCGATGGCAGGTGGTACGTGCAGGGCGTGACCAGCTTCGTCTCCTCTCGAGGATGCAACACCCCCATGAAGCCCACAGTGTTCACTCGCACCTCTTCCTTCACCGAGTGGATCAGTGACGTGAGTTTCCTTCAGAGAAAAAGCAGTTTCTTGTGACCTATGTCATTTACAGAGACGTGTTTCAAAGTGGTGGGTCACCATGAACCTCAAGGACAGCCTCTACTAGAGATGAACAATGTTCTTTCAAATATATAGTCCTTTATTTGGAAAGTTTATTTTTGGGCTTATGCAAAGAATTAAATAAAAAAAAAATCTCCTGCTAGTTCGAAACTTAACTTCAGATAAATGCAATTCAACAACTTTATATTGATTTGACAATGAGCTCCAGAGGTAGATCCTAGATGACTTAAGTTTAGAAACCGAGGTGAGTGAGCACACACCAGTTTATAGTGATTGCACATCATTGGGAAGTTAGCAGAAGCAATATTTATTAATCAAAATAGAGTGTTGATATTGTTTGTGGGGATTTGTGGACTTGCAGAGGCAAACTTGTCTGTTTGTTTTTTACTTTTTTTTTTTTCTTATCTTTCAGACTATGCTGCAGCACTGAAGACCTGGGGCCTTTAAATATCCTCTAAGCAGTGTATTTTGTTCATGATGGAAAGGTGTCATTTAAATTGAAAGCATACTCAAAACTCAATATTAATGTGTTGGTGTCAATTTGTGAAATTTGGATGGCAGAGGTATTTTGAAATTTAAATTCGCATTTGAACGGCACAGGTTATGCAGCATTTCCTAAGTATGTTGATACCTGTACAGATTAAGCATTGCACCCTAACTTCATAACTTTGGCAACTTCAGGGTAAACTCGTCCTTGTTGTTTTGGACGTGGGACTGTGGGTCAGCTTCGTCTCGTTCATCACAGGAAGTTCTGTTGAGGCAAAAAAAAACACAAAAGAGCGTGGTTGACGTTAACTTGACTAACAAACAAACAAGACATGTGAGTCACTAACACCCTATTGACTCACGTTTTTTACTTGTAGTTTCACACAGGACACAAACAGAGGTCTGTTGGACGCTTGTCCTGTGTTTGTTTGACTCAAGTGATGTCACTTGAGGACAGTTATCAGACTTCAC